AAATAGGTAACGTCATTATTAAGCCTAAATTAAATTATAATAAAAAATTAAATTAAAGATTACACAAAAAACGAAAATTTTATATAGTTAAATTGATACTAATATCGATATATTTTTTTCTTCAAATTTTTATAATATCTTCAAATCTATATTTTATTCAAAAATAGAAAAAAATTACCGCTTTTCAAAAATAACATAAAACTATATTATAATATCAACAAAAATAAAGAATAAAAACATTATTATCGAGATGCATCTTATTGTATTACGCGAATACCCTTCTAGTAGTAACTAATGCATATAAAATTTTAGTTATCAAGTATTTATGACTTCTTTGAAACGAGCAAGGGGAGAACCAACGGCCAACGAGTGAGATATGACCTCAATCGATGGCTCCATTTGGACCATTTCCTTTCAATTTCTTATTATTTGAAGTCCAACAATAATAGAGGTCTACTATTAGAATTTTTAAAGCCCAAATACTTATTAACGAATATTAGTATATCGGGTATGGGGCGGGTCGGAGGTACAATACCTGGCTCCAGCCCTAACCCCGGTTTGAGTCTACCGAGGATCCCTGGCCCGGGATCCGTTTTAACAAGGAATCTCCGTTCCCTGTTCGAATCAGGTGAACCGAATTCCCACTAGATCAGGACAAATCACCATCCTTACACAATACCACATTTAAAGAAAATTGTCTACATTAATTTTCTAAACAAATAACTCCCGTATTAATTCGAATGTAGAGTGATAGAGATAAAATGATATTTAATATATATAGGGTTGGTTTCACATGAGACCAAAGGTTTTTCGTGAGACCCGTAAGACCAATTTATGTTCATTGATCAAATTTATAAACTAATGATCTAAATTTGCAAGGTGGCAATTTTGTAATTATTGAGAAGTCTCGTGGCGTTTATAAATGTTCAGATCTGACGATTGTAAATCTAATTCAAGGGTTGAAAATTGGTCTTACGGGTCTCACGAAAAACCATTGGTCTCACATGATTCCAAGTTTATATATATATACTAGAAAGGTACTCGCACAATGCAGTAAGATGCATCTTGATCTTAATATTTCATTTTATTTTTTATCTCAATCAATGTTATAATATGGTCTTATGTGATTTTGAAAACACGATGATGTTTTTAATTTTTGAATAAAATCTAAGTTTGAAGATATTATAAAAATTTGAAAAAATTATGCATACATTAGTATCAAATTAACTATTTAAAATTTCTCATTTTTTGTGTAATTTTTTAATTCAATTTTTTTAGTTATAATTTAATTTAAGTCCAATAACAAAATAATTTATATTTGGTTTAGTAATATAATTTTTTTATAAAAATAATAGTTAATTATTTTGTTATAACTCGATAATTATTCTAATTATATTTTAGATTTTTTATATTTTGAGATGTTTATCCTATATTTGATTATGTTTATCCGCAGTAGTTACACGAATTCAAACATGGAGCTTTAATAAGTTATATTAATGTATAATTTACTTGTAATTTTGAATTTTAAGTAATATACATCAATATACAGTACTTTATGCATAAAAAATTATTTTTAAGAATTTATGTCAAATGTTTTATAGTGTATATATATATATATATATATATATATATATATATATATATATATAATATTATTTATTTGATATTTAAATATTAAAATACATTCCGATGTAAGAAGCTTCAGATTTCCCTATTAAATATACATAGCATTTGAGTGGGGGAGGACGCAATATCTTCCCAACCATGGCCTCTGGACTTTGGAGTCGTAAAGTGGACTTGGAAATCACCAAGAACCCTAAATCATCCCCATGAATGGATACCAGAAACACACGGATTTTTCGCAACAATTACAAGTAACCTTCACTGTAAATACCTTCAATTGGCACCTTTATTGCTCCTTATTACTTCAAGTTCAATTCCTTCTCCTGCTCACTTCACATCACTTCTCCCCCCTTTTCTTTGATGGGTAATGTACCTCAAAAACCCCAACAAAACTCACCAATTGATCAACAGGATGATGAACAAGAATCATCATCATCAACAACATTCACTTGCGAGATTTGCATCGAACCCGTAATTCTTCCCAACAAGAAATTCAAGAACAGCAACAGATGTGTCCACCCCTTTTGCACCGACTGTATAATCAAATACATCCAAGTGAAGCTCGAGGATAACGTATCCGATATCAAATGCCCAGCTATTACCTGCGATCACTCGCTCGAACCCTTGTCATGCCGATCAAAAGTTGGACACCAACTGTTTGATAAATGGTGTGATGTGCTTTGCGAGTCAGCGGTTCTAGGGCTTGACAGGGTTTACTGCCCTAATCGGGACTGTTCGGCGTTGGTCGTTAACGAGTGTGGTGGTGAAGGTAATCTAAAGCGATGTGTGTGTCCTAATTGCAAGAAACCGTTTTGTTTTCGGTGCAAGGTTCCATGGCATGCTGGCTATAGGTGCGAAGAGAGTGGGGAAATGAGGGATCGCAACGATATTGCTTTTGGTGTTCTTTCTGAGAGGAATCAATGGATGAGATGCCCCATGTGTAGACATTGTGTTGAACTTGTCAAAGGTTGCGCCATTGTTAGATGCAGGTAGTTCTTTTTAGTTCTTCCTTTTATCAAACACATACAATCACACAATTAGAGGACAATTTAATCAAGTGCATCATCAATTTTGATTAGTTTTAGAAAACATTGGGATTATTTGAAAGCTAGCTGTGAACTCTGTGAATTTGTTTTTTAGGTTTTAGAAAGATCAGCTGATGGTATTTGGGGTAAGATAAAAGAATGTAGAATTGATGGTTAACTGATTGAAACCCAATTCTATCCAAAATTTCAAGAAAGTGTGCGGTTTTGGCGTGTTTTCCAGCCTAGTTACGGTTATTGTTGAAGTAAGAGAGGAAATTTTGCAGCATATGTTCTTTCTTGAATTAATAGCTGAGAATGACAATTTGGAGTTTGCATACCTAAATTTCTTCTATAATTGGAAAATTTTGTGTTTTTGGGGAATTTTAAGCTAACATAACGATCATATCCACGTTTAAACTTCAGTTTTTGACTGGATAATTGATTTCTGCTGCCTGCAAAACATAAGAGGATATAGAATTCATTATTTTTTTGATTGGATTCTTTAATATCTTTGGTTTATTGCTGTTCTTTGTGTCAATCCACTATGGAAAGCTGATGATTGATTCTTAACTGAACTTTTGGTGCAGATGTGGGATTGAATTTTGCTACAGATGTGGAAAAAAGGTTGACCACCATTGGTGCAATTGTCGAAGATCTTCGACATTTTGCATGTGGCTTTTTCATCTCTGCATAGTGATTTTGGTTCTATGGCCATTCTTTCTTCTATTTACGGCTATAACAAGAAAGAGCCACCATTGATTGCTGTTATCAGGATGATACAGATGCAGTAGCTCTCCACTTATCATGCTAATGTAAATAAAATCTGAAAAAATGAACAACATTTTAGCTCTCTGCACGATATGTGTCATGAAGAAGCGACTGCTACCAACTTCTACTATATCGTATAAATAAGTCTTTTAATCCCCCTTCTATGTAAAGAGTTCGAGTGATGTTACCTGTGATGGATTTCTATAATCTAAAATAACTGCTTTTTACCATTTTATTGTTCTTTCTCTTGTTCTTCTTGTAGTTGCTTATATTGTTTGGTTTTATTACCCTGTCTTCCTTAGTCAAGTGGTTGACCGAAGTCAACAGAACAAACAGATTACTCGCTGGTTTCTGAAATCGTAACAGATAATTTTTGGTTCATTTGCCCTTTGAGTTCAATTAAATGCGCTTATCGTTTTCATTGTAATGGTGTCATACTTCTATGTGTGCCATTTCAGTTGAACAGGGGAAGCAGGTTGTGAGTCTGGTCAAATGTTTCAAGCATCATGATGGGTTCGCTCATTTTGTTGATTTTTATATGTTTTATAGCGTTATTTACCCCTCTGTTTCACATAAAAGTCCTGCCAAACGTGGAGCATGATCCCTGTTCTGTCATGTCTTGTGCAGTGTTCCAAACGCACCCACACCGCATGCTTCGGTGCTACTTTTCATTTTGTTGATTGGTTGTTTTCTTGTTGAATTGCTGACAAATATTGGCTTCTGCCAATTTTGATTAGAATTATGTATGTTGATTTGGTTCTTGAAGTTGGTCTGGCTAGTTTTGGTTCAGGTTATGGAAGAAGCATGCAGGAGGTGATGGTTATGGGTGATTGGGACAAAAAACTGATCACTTTGTCATGCAATCTGAGCTTCTGCTTGATTGTAGGTAATCTTTTTGGTTCCTTCTTGTCTTGGTTTAACCACCCCTTTAAGGGTGGTTTGTTAGCCAGTCAGTTTCAGGTCTTATTTTAATGCGGTCGGTTGCTTTTTAAGAAGTATTGAAGTTTGAACTCTTATTTCGCTTCTTATTGATAAAATGTGGTGTAAGGTCTCAAAGCAGAATCAATGAATGTTCAAAGTTGTGTCTTATTGAGACTTGTATGCCTTGATATTCTCAATTCTCGAATAAAAAGGTATTATGGGTTGTTTATCAAACACTTATCGGGTGAGGATGAATAAGACCAACAAATTTATCTAGTAAAAGCTATAACAAGGACCAATGATTTTACCCGGTAAGTAGGGGAGCTCAAAAACCTGACTAGGGATGACAATGGGGCGGGGATGGGGCGGGGACCTCAATACCCGTCCCCGTCCCCG